TGCCCACACATTGGGTGCCATTTATAGCTCGAGTTTTCCTGCCTTGCCCCCAGTCAGGACAAATCTTTGTCACCCAACATTCCAACAGCCGTTCAGACCCAACAAAGAAAACACAGAGACTTATATTGCTTACAAACTGTATGGCCGTAGCCGACTTCTTGCTATCTGTTCTTACAGCTTAAATTAATCCATTTCTACAAATCTATACCCTCCACGCGGCTCGTGGCTTACCGGTATCTTTTTATGTCTCTTGTCCTGGTAGCATCTGGCAGTGACTCCTTCTGCCTGTTTTTTTTTTTGTCCTGTTAGTCCTGCCTTTACTTGCTGCCTAGCCATGGCCAATCAGTGTTTTATTTATTGACCAATCAGAGCAACTTGACATACACAACATCCCACACCACAGCCAACTGCAGACCATCTCAGACACCTGCACTCAGGCCCATCGTTCTAATCATCCTGTATGTGGACCTGTTGGGTAAAGCCACGAGGAACCTGAGAACAGGCTCCCACAAGACATATAGGACATCCCACAGCAGCCCAGAGTAAAGGCATATGAAACACATCACAGCAATCCCCCACAATCCTCAAGGGCAGGCAATCATTGAAAGAAACCACCAATGCCTTAAAGAACAGCTATGAAAGCAAAAAGGGAGAGTAACCCCCCATATTCAGTTACATCAGGCCTTATTCACTGTTAATATTTTGAATCTGTCCAAAGGAGCCAATGAAAGCAGATTTCAAAAACATTGGGCACAATCAATTCCCAAAACTCAGATTCAAGTAAGATCGAGGGATCCTCTAACACTTCAGCGGATGGGACCAGATCCCAATCGGGGCCTTCTGCTCCCCAGCCACTCCTTCATGCCCCTAGTGGGGCAGGAGGTCCTGGAGTGACAGTCCCTACAAAAAATGATGACAGAATACAGGCTTGCAGTGGTGGGTGCTGGAGGTATGGGACAGAGTGCCCTGACCATCCAGCTGATCCAGAATCATTTGCCCGGGGGTCAGAGCTATTAGAGCCATAGCAAGATCGTGGCGGTGGCGGAGGCGGCGGTGGCGGCGGCGGTGGCGGCGGCGGCGCATGCCTTTAATCCCAGCGCTTGGTAGACAGAGCTAGATAGATCTCTTTGTGTTCAGGGATACAGTCAGCATTAGAGACATACGCCTTTAAGACCTGGAGGGCGGTACTTACAGGCAGTGACGAGGCAGTCACGTGTTAGGGTTTACAACCAATGGGAAGGCAGAACAGAAAGACTACACACACACACACACACACACACACACACACACACACACACACACACACA